GATCTAGAAAAACAATCCTAAAATTCATATGGAATCAGAGGAGACCCAGAATAAAAAAAGGATTTTTGAGCAGCAAGAGCAAAGCATGACGTATAACAATACCCTGCTTCATGCTATACCTCAAAGGAATAGTAATAAAAAACGGCATGGTACTGGAACAAAAACAGATACATGGATCGATGGAACAGAACTGAGGATACAGAAACATCCCCAGACACACTGTTATTTGATCTTTGACAAAGGGGCCAAAAGCATATGTTGGAGGAAAGATAGCCTATTCAAGAAGAGGTGCTGGGGAAAATATCTATCTTGTGCAGAAGATTGAAACTTGACCTTTATCTCTCACCATATACTAAATTAAAAGGTAGTATTTAAATACTAAGGGTAGTATTAAAGGTAGTATTTAAATACTAAATTAAATTATCTAAACATTAAGACAAAAACACGAAACCTACTGGAAAATAAAATAGGTAAAACACTTGAAGACATAGGTGTAGGAAAGGATTTTCCAAGCAGAACCTCAGCTACATAAGAAATAACAGCAAGAATCAACAAATGGAAATACATCAGGCTAAAAAGCTCCTGTACAGCAAAAAAAATCAATCAGTCCAGTGAAGAGACAACGTACAGAATGGGGAAAATTTTTTTCCAGCTACTCCCCAGATGGAGGACTAATATCTATATATGAAAGAACTAAAAAATATTAAACCACCTAAAATTAAAGATCCAGTCAGGAAATGGTCAAGAGAAATGAACAGATGCCTCATAGAGGAAGAAATACAAATGCTCAACAAATATATGAAAAAATGCTCAACATCTCTGGCCATTACAGAAATAAAAACAATGCTAAGTTTCCATCTTACTCTAGAAAGAATGGCTCTGAGCAATGTAGTTGAGGACAGCGATATGTAATGTAACAACCACTGTTGGTTTGTATTATTTTGTCTTGAGACTCTGTATCACTTTGAATGTTCTTGCTTTGATTTGTTTATGTTTGTGATACTGGTATGCTGCTACTGTTCTATTTCTTTGTTTGTTTGTTTCTCATTTACTATTCTCTTTAAAATAAAAAAAAAGAGGGCTGGGGATTTAGCTCAGCGGCACAGTGCCTGCCTGGCAAGTATGAGGTCATGAGTTCGATTCCCACTACTGGAAAAAAAAACCCTAAAATAAAATAAAATTAAAAAAAGAAAGAATGGCAATCATTACAGAAATCAAACAATAACAAATGCTGGTAAGGCTGTGTTGAAAAAGGAACCCTCTTTTATTGTTGGTGAGAGTGAAAACTAGTATAACCATTTGGAAATCAGTATAGAGATTTCTCAAAGAACTGAAATTATAAATTCCATATGACCTAGGAATCCTCCTGCCAGAGCTTAAGACGTCATACTATAGTGATACATGCATGACAATGTTTATAGCAGCACAACTCATAGTAGCTACATCCTGGAAGCAGACTGTGTACCCATCAGCAGATGATTGGCTAAAGAAAATATGGCATCTATATATAATGGAATACTACAGGGCTATAGAGAATGACAGATTTGAGACATTTGTAGGAAAATGGGTGCACCTGGAAAACATAATGTTGAGTGAAATAAGCCAGACACATAAGCTTGGAGGTTGTATGGTATCTCTCATTTGACTGAGGCAAAGTACCAACAAAGAGAATAACAAAGGATGGATAAAAGGGAGATGGATTTCATGCAGTAAGGAAGTGGTCCACGGGAACAAGAGTGAGGGGTTAGGAAGAGGGAAAGGAGAATAAGTAGAATAAAGATATGCCATGTACAGGAATCTAATAACCTCAATTAATGTAAACAGTATATGCCATAACATGAGCTAAGATTAATAAGAATGAAAAATGGGATAGGAGAATTAGAGGAGGAAGGAGAGGGAGGGAGGGAAGGGGACTTAAAAAATAAAAGAAAGAAGCTATGGTATGTACATGTAAGTACTCCCCAAGACGATTATAAACTGCATGAACTGCAAACGTGTACCAATAAAATTTTAAGAAAAAGAAACAAGTGCTAGGATAGAGTTAGCAGCTGATGTCATTTTCAGCACCTGTAAATGGCCATGTTCGCAAAGGCATATCAAAGAACAGTGTGCAGTAGTGTGCCCTACATATATCAAGACTTTAATATGAAATATAGTAATTAAAACAGTGTTGTATTGGTTCAGAAATGAGAAGCTGGGCAAATTAAATGGGCAGAGAGATAAGAAAAAGATCCAAATGTACAGAAATTAATATATGCCAAGAATGGGATTACAGACCAAGGAGGAAATGTGGACAATGATTAATGAAATAAATGGAAGGGAAGAAAATAAATTACTCCCTCAGCCTAGACACAAAAATCAATCAAAAGTGCATCAAGGACTTGTGAAAGGGAAAGTTTTAAACCTTTAGGAGAAAATATAATATATATCTTAATTCTAAGATATTAATACTTTCTTAAATAAAGCTGAAGATATATAAACAAAGGAAAATACTGACTAATTTTCCTATATTAAAATTAGAAACAGTTTCTTAAAAGATGTCAGAAAGCCAAAAAAAACTGGCAAAAGATATTTGGGAGACATGTAACAAACATGTTAGAAAAGATTTGTAAAGAATTTCTAAAAATCAAAAATAAAGGAAGTACAGTCAACAGAAAATAGACAAAAGACTAGAAAAGACACTTCACAAAAGAGGAAATCTAATTATATAATAAACACACAAAAGTGTTTAGTCTCAGCCATAGTCAGATAAATTCCAATGAAAACAACCAGATATCATTTCACATTCAGTAATGTGGAGATATTTAGGAAGACTCATAAGGCAGGGGGTAGTGGGACTGGAGACAGGAGTGGAAAATGGTCAGTTGCCTGGGAAAATAATTTGAAATTGCCTAGTAGAGTGATTAACCACATGTGATAAAAGAGAACTGCATTCTAGGACACATAAACACGTATCCTAGGAAATAGGTTCAAGAATATTTACAACAATATTGAAGTAACAGAACTAAAAATGAAGAGAAGGAAGAGAAGAGGGTAGAGGATAGAAAGTAGGCACATGCGATCAGAAAGGAGATGCACATATGTTAATGATATTAGGCTAAAAATGGAAAGGGACACAAAGTGTGGAGGAGTATCTTTGGTTTAAAGTACAGTTATTTATTACTTACTTTTATGTGTCTGACATGTCCCAAGAAAAATTTCTCAAGTATTTCCACAAAGGTTAGACTATTTTAGTAGAAGCATGGATTTGTTAGTCAGAATAGCATCCTTATCCACAAGAGGGGTTGTTTCATGTCCTCAGTGGAAAACAGCCTTCATTGGTTCTTGTAATCAGATTGATTCTGCCTCCACACAGAGCTTCCCTGAGGATGGCACTGAGCATGCTGAGGAACAGGGACACCTTCAGGAAGACCAGGAGCAGCAAGTAGACGCTGCTGAGCAGGGACCTATGGAGAACACGGTAATGGTGAGCTGCCACCCAATGCAGAGGTTGTGCTGCCTTGCACTTTGCCCCATCCCCTATACAGTACAAAGCTCCCATGTCCACAGTGATCTACATGAGGACCAACCCTAGACAAAGCAGCCCTCCATGAAGGACCAAGGCCCTGACCTCAAGTTTGGGGAGTGCCCTTAAACTTGAGGCTGTGGTTATAGGAAGGGCATTACAACGGGAAAGACATGAGGGGAACCTGGGGATGGAGGAATGGTCTATGTCCAGGAGAATTTCTAGCAGAGCTCTCCACATTTATGAGTTATTAGCTGGGGCACTCAAGTCAATCATGCGTGTGAGGGCAGGACAGAACCAGTGTGCCTCGAGCAGTCAAGCTACTTCAGTATTGAGAAAAGCATCCTGCCTGGACAATTACAGTCATTGCTAGGCAACATTACCTCTCCTGATACTAACTTTGCAAAGTATAAAATAAATGCCCCTACTGTTGAAGTCAGTCCTCTTCCTACTAGGTAAGAGGTAACTCCACCTGACCCAGCTCTTGTCTCTTGTCTTTATTTTTCTCATACCCACCACCATTTCTCTCCGGTGTACAGTGAGAGACCAACGAGGTTCCCTACAGTGAGCAAGGTTGGGACCTAAGGAAGAGAGGAAAGGAGGTCACTGGAGCTCAAAGCACCAGCTCCTGCCCAGCCTGGCTAGGTCCTTTCAAATCCTCAACAGGACATTTGCACTCACTCTCTGCAGACTAGAGTGCCAGGGTCCTTAGCTCTGCAGACCCATAGTCATGTGGCCTCTAATCAGTGAGGCCTCCTTTGATTGTCATGCAGACAATAACATCTCCACCAACCTCTCCCATGATCTCCCCAAACTGAGTAAAAATATTTTTTCTCTTTCCTCCCTGATTGCTGTATTTATATAGCAGTTTCTCTGCTGACTTGTTCACTGTGAATCTACCTGGTAGAATACAAGCTTTGGTCTGATTAGGACTGCCTGGTGGTCCCTGCCGTGTCCTAGTTTTGAGAAGACTCCCTGGCACTTAGTAAGACCCTCTAGGTTAGTATGAGATGGCAAGTGCAGAAAGGGCCCAGGTGAGGGAGACGCAGTCCCTGTACCTCTCCATCCAAAGTCAGCCACCAGAGGAACAGCCCAGACACAGGTGCTTACTGAGGTGGTGAGCTGGGACTGGGGATGTCCTATCTAGTGACACTTGGCTTGGCATGTGCTGAGAGTGATAGAGGAATAATCATAGTATTTATGGTGCTTTCAGGGCTGGAGGTTGTGGCTGGATCTGAGAGTGAACCACTGGTCAGGCCCCATGACATCCCCAGAGTCTCTCGTTCACTGTCACCTGTGTGGCTCTGGCTCACACAGACCAGGTCACTCAGGGCCTCCAGGACCAACAAGCCTTATGGCCACACCTGCACCTGACCAGGGCTGCCCTCTGACCCCATCTAAGGTGCATGGTGATCATCTAGTTACCCGTAGATGCAAGAACTGTTTTCCTAAGTAGGAGGATTTGGGTGTCTCTGATGACACTTGGGGCCACAGCCAGTCCAGTCATAGCAACACCTTCTCTTCCTCTCCCTCTATCCTTCCTGGAAATAATGTAGTGATACCTGCTGAGTAGAGACTGATTCAGAGCAATTGGAAAATCCAAGTCCTGGAGCGGGATTAATGGTTTTTGGAGTAAGGCTTCATATGAGAGCAGGCCAGTCTCCAGGCCCATGGTCCAAAACAGGCCACTGGAGAGTCCTCTCGGGAGATAGAGAATAACTAGGAAGAATGATCTAGAGAAACAGACACTTAGTAGATCCCAGAAGAGTATCCTGACCCGAGGCCAGATGGACAATCGTCTTCCTTTCACACATCTAGTATGACTTTAGCTCCTCACTCTTGAGTATGAACACATAAAGGGCATGAAAAGGGAATTTGCACAAGGAGGAAATGAAACCAAGAAGAGAGAACTAGGTGGAACTAGAGCCAATTTCAGAATTCCAGCCTCACGCTTAACCCTAAACCCCACGTAGAGGTGCTGGGTTGGTTCCCATGAGATAAGGGAGCTTCTGGTTAGGAAGAAGTATTTACAGACATGGAGTAGCACCGGGGTCTGTAGCAGTGAGAGCCTCTTTCTATCCCACTTGTCTCTCTGCTCAAGCAGAGACACTTTTCGAGGGTACTCTGGGTTCCCTCCTGTGGTTAAAAGGTGCCAGAGAAAGGGGAAGACAAGTCAGTCTGAAGGACCTAGTGGCATCCCCCAAAGGGACAGGGAGGCCACATAGAGCCCTGGGCTCCTTCTTGTGCCCCTCTGGTGGCCACTGAGAAGATTCCAGAACCACAGTGGTGAGGTTGGTGTCTCTGGACCACCCACAACAGGGAGATAGTCACTCAGGCCCAGGTCAGCACAGCTGTGACAGAGGAGACGAAATACCCCAGAGGCCCTGCTTCTATGTGGAAATGGAGACAGACCCGGTGAGACATGGGGTCTCCTTCAGAGGGGACGTGGCCATCATCAGGAGAGTCAGTCAGCAAAAAGCTGGGACTCAGGGCCTGTCCACCCCACACCCTAAAAAATTCAGCCCTGAGAAATTCAGGTTTTCTGTGTGGCTGTGTGCACCAGTGCATACAAACATGTGTCTGCACATCCATCACATACACCGATACATTTAGCACAGCCGTGTTCACATGGGCAAGCGCACACCCGCTCACATACACACTGTGTCCTGAGTCACCGACTCACTCTCCTACTTGACGTCCCTCTTCAGGGCGGGAACAACCAGGATCAGACTCAGGCAGCTGTGTGTGAGGTTTCTCACCTGAGAGCACAGACACCATGACCTTAAAGGAGTCAAATTGTGCGATGCTGCGATGTACTGACCCCACACCATAGGAAACTGCATCCTGCAGGGAGAGGCTCTACAAGGCCACTGTGAAGCTGGGGTTGGCGGGATGGTCCCTGGTGGTCGCTCGGCCCCACCTCACTTCTCCCTCCAAGCCTTTGGTCTTCACAATATGTCACATATGCCACAAGTGATCCTCTGCACCAGTACTTGTCATGTGCCTTGTCTCCCTCCTCATACCAGCACTGCACACTCAGGGATCCCCCCACGGTGCCAGTCATGGTGCTGGGGCCGCTTAGGAGAAAACAGCCTGGAAAACATAGCCCTCTTTCTGGGCCCTCTTACCTGGGCAGGGGCAGGGTGACCCTGGTGTCGGGTCCTCAGGGTCCTTGAGTCTGAAAGAGGAAGCACAGGGAGACCAGCCGAGCCAAACCCAGGAATCAGGACCAAGAGGTGAGAAGCTCCCTCTTCCAGAGGTGGGGACAGGGAAAGGGGTGTCCATGCAGACAGAACATACTGCCTGCATGGGTATGGGGGGGGCCTTTGTGTGTGTGCATGCATGTGTGTATGTGTGTGAGCATAGCTGTTCCTATGCGACAGCATGTGCTTTGTGTGTGTTAGATCACACTCGGGTTGTATGTTTATAGCAATGGCTATTACAGGTGCCCCTCTCTGAGTGCCGATCCTGTCCAGCATGCAGGGGCCTCAGTTTCTCTGTGTGGTACATTGCAGTCTGCCAGCCCTATAGGCAGGTGCTCGCTGCTCCTAGCTTCTCCTCTGCCTTCCCACCCTCTTCCTCGCTCGACTCACCTCTATCAGCGGATCCTTCCCCACTTCCTGTCATGCCCCTGCCCTCTCCAACTCAGGACAGAGCTTCTGCTGTCCAGGGCCAGCACTGCCCACCTGGAACCTGCAGCAGGAATGAAGCTGAAGGCAGCCATGCGGTCACATTTCTTCAGCAAAGATGTCACTTACAGTGGCACCAGGCCTGGAAGGGAATAAGTACATTCTCCTTACAGAGGATCCAGTGTCCACATCTTCATTTATGTTTTTTTGCCCCTCTGTTCTCTGGTCCATCTGTCTCAGGTGTGACTTTGTAGCGGGCCAGGGGGATGCAGGAAGCACAGGGAGAGAAGCTGTGTGGGGTGGTTCCCAGCCCTGGTGCCCTTCGCTCCTCCAACTCCCCATGACTGGGCACGTCCAGGGTGTGTGCTTTGGGGATCCCACCCCCTCCACACAGTCCACACTGCTGTGCTCACCGTCACACACACACCTGCAAAGTAGAGTCCATCTGTAGCATTTCCTCAACAGGGCCACCCCATCCTCTGTATATGTCACTTCCTTGTTGTCAGGAAGGACCATCCCTGAGGATGGGGCGAGAGCTGTCCTTCTCTAGCCCTAATGGGGACCATGGAGAACTGCGTCCTTCCAACCTTTAGCTGAGGCAGTCACAGAGTGCTCTGACCTCTAATTTAACACAATATGTTGAGTTGGCACTGTGAAAACAGACATCTTTCTCAGTGTTCTCTTTTGGTGCTCTGTCTGCATCGAGAGTCATATCCTCCAGACAGCAGCCTGTCTTCTTGTGCTTTGCCCCCACATCTGGATGAGGAGCAGCTGTCACAGCACTCTGAGACCCTCAGGTTTCTCTCTTGTCCTGTTGTCAAACTCCACTCCCCAGTGAGACCAAGACAGAGAACTGGGAGTGGAGAGAGCTGGGAGGCCTGAAGGGCTGAAACATGGAGTCGAGGTGGTAGAAGGCTGACCCTACCCACATACCCCAAACACCCAGAGAATGTAATCTCATAATGAAAAATGGAGCTTATCATAAGCCTTGGCTACAGTGACTTTTCTGGATTAAAAGTGATTACTAAGTGTTATGGTCAGGGTTTACAGGGAAAATATTTAATGCAGGACATGTAATTTATAGGATTATTTTATAATATTCACCCAAAGAGTCAACTGCAAAAGAGTGCAGGAGATCTGTCCATACACTAGAGACCCAAAGAATCCAGCAGAGGGCCTAGATCCCACGGCAATGTCCTGCACAAGTCTAGCTGAAGAACTGGAGCCCAAGGAGACGTCCCCTGCAAGTTCAACTGGAGGCCTAGAGCCCACGACAATGTCTCACGCAAGTCTGTATCAAGGATCTGCACTAGGAATGCCCAAAGGCCAGTGGTGGAAGCGAGAAAGTCTGCACCAGCAAGATAAAGGATCTGTGCCAGCAGGCCGAGGGATCTGCACTGGATCCAGGAGGCAAGGTTCAAAGTAAGGACCCAAGCTCCCCTCAAAAGAACCACAACCTTCCTCAGCAACAGCGGGGTCTCGAGCTCCTCTGATGATGAGAACAACCAGATTTATATCAGGAAAGGCAACATGACAAGCTTCTCCAGGAGAATCAACAGCACACCATCTTCCCCTAAGGTTCTCTTTTTATGCTGTGGGCAGCAATCCTCAGGTAATCCTTCCACATCCTGTACCACTCTGACTGAGTTCAGCTGAGTGTTACAAGTTGCCCGTGGGTTTGGGAGAAGAGGAGGGACTGGGCTCAGATGGGGTGCTGCACTGTAAAAGGCAGCCTGGCCTGTGCTAGTGAGGAGAAAGAGAGCCTGGGGCACAAGCCCGCCGTCACTGTCCCTTCGCAATGCACTACTCTCACATGCCTGGCTGGAGGAGGGGGGGAGGGGCTTTACAGTCTGAGAATGAGCGTGTGTGAGTGCAGCGGTATCCACATTTTCAACTTCAAGCTATTGCAGTTTCTTTTTCCCAGAAGACAAGCGTTAGATTCACCACAATCCACCCTTGGTCAACTTGATAACCAGACACATTTCCTTCAACCATAGTCTCCAGTGGCAGGTTTGTGAAAGGTTAACATGTCTTGGTCTATTCGCATTTACATTAGTGTAACAATTACATATATATAATTCTTACTGCACTCATTTCCATGCCAAAAGCAAAATATTCAAAGGGTGATCTACGTCCAGGGTTAAAACCACAATGCTTTGACCAATTAACGTGATTACAAACATATATCCAAAAAGTACATTAAAGTCATTTAAAGAGCCATTACAATCACAATTCTTTGTTTCCCGTTAACTTTTAACAACAGGGCATAGCAACACTAAGAAACAGGGATCTCCTGCACTCGGAATACACTCTTCTCTGTAGGTGAAGGTTCATTTTTCCATTGTCCGCTTCCTTCTCAACAACCATGTTCTCTTCTGTGTCATCCTTGCAACCCACAGCTCCACGGGAGACTTCCCTGAGGCCAAATGCTTCAAATCACCTTACTGACTCTTTGCTCTTAATTTCCAGCATAGATTTGGCCAAAAGCTCAACAGTAACCACGCCACTATCCCAACAGTAGACTGCACTGAAATTTTTTAGTCATCCAGGCAATATCTCTAAACACAAGCAAAATGCAGAACAACTTTCTGCCAAAGCACAATATACTCCACCTGGGATCCAGCAGCCAATCAGACCTCAGTAGGAGCCTCCTGAGCTTCATTTTAATCAGCAGCATTTCCATCAGTACTCTGGTTTTCCAGGCTCTGACCAGAGTCTCCCATATAGTTACAGCATATGGGGGGCTGCCTCTTTGGTCAATCTCTCAAAACCTTTCCCAGTTAATTCCTAAGGCTCTTAAGCCACAAGGCCAGGCAATGTCACAGCAATGACCCCACTCTCTTGGTACCAATTTTGTCTTGTTATTTTTCTCTCATTACTGGAACAAAATATTCAGCTCTCAAAGTTAGGGAAGGAAAGGTTTATTTAGCCGATAGTTTGTAGAGGTTTCAGTCCATAAACTGTTGGCCCCAAAGCAGGGTGGCGTGGCAGAGGGGCAACAGTTCATGGCAGTGGAAGACAGCAAAAGCATCAAGAGCAAAAGGGGAGAGCAAGCCTCTCTTCCTCCCTTATACTGTATGCAGGCTACCGCCCTAGGGCGGGTGTAGCACTCATACCCCTAATCCCAGCACTAGACAATGAACCAATCACAAACTGTAGATTCAGCTGCCTCCAAAAAGCCCACCTCCCATATGATCTCATGAGGCTTTGGGGGGACATCCAGACACAAACCACAACACTGAGACTTTGTACAGAGCATAGATGGGGACAAGAAGTCCCCAAAGTATGTGGATGCATATACACCCCAAGTTAAAATGTCTCATTCCCATGACGTCTGTCATAGGCCTTACCACCATATTTTCCTAGATGGAAGGAGGGAAGTTAAGGTCCAGAATCTACTCACTTTTTCTCCTGAATTAATCATGTCTTGTCAAGTCCATCCTTGTTGACAAATTACCCTATTTTAAGGGTTTGATAGTCACCTTCACCCTTACACCGGCCCCATCCTACTTATTTTATCTTATTCTATACACATTTCATCTGTTTTATGCTGGAGATCAGTGCATCCCTGAAGCTCTGCATTATTACTCCAAAATTAAATGATGCATGATTAAGTAGACACACTGAGTAACTGGAAGAGTCACACATTTGCTCCCACACCCAACCAGTGTGGGCATTTTTGGGAGTGAAGATCATAAAAGACTCATGGAATTGCCCTCGATTATGAAAACAGAGGACTAAAGGATATACCACACTCCTGGTGGGACTGAAGATTTCAAGAAGGTCACCAGGGGCTTCCAATGCATTAGCAATCACCTGAGGTTCTTCTGGCATGTGTGTATGCAAGGCTGCTATGCAGTCACACTTCACAGAGTGTGCGTTGATTAGATCCTCATTTGGTATATGCGGATGGTGAACAAGGAAATGGTTTTGGTAACTTTCAAAAGGGGATTCCAGTGAGTGTGTGGAAAGTGACAGAGGGTTCCTCGGTCAGAGATCCTTCACATCCACCACAGAAGTTGTATCTCTGGAAAAGGCCTCAATGGACAGCAGATGTCACTGATTTCATGATGAGACTGTCACCTCTCCCAGCTTTCCTGAGCCTGTGCGCTCAGAGGACGTCACTGAACATGCTTAGGATCAGGAAGACCAGGAGCAGAGGCTGGCACCGCTGAGCAGGGACCTGTGAGGGAACATCGTGACAATGGCCTCCTCCTTGGTGCTGCACTTTGCCCCTGTCCCTTATGTCCTGGATCCTATGTTCACCGTGATTCACATGAGGACCAATCCTGCCCAGCCAGCCCTACATGAAGGACAACTGCCCCTGCCAGACAGCCCATGGAGTGTCCTTGAATTTGGGCCTGTGGGCATAGAAAAGGCACAGCTATGAGAGGGCCATAAGGGCAGCCCAGGGATCCAAGAGGGACCTGTCCAGAGACAGATTACCATAGCCTCCCACATTTGGGCAGGACACATCTGAGGTAAAAGACTTCAGCATTTCCCATGAGGCTGGGGCATTTCCCACGAGGCTGGGGCATTGTCTTATCACAGGCAGTGGCTGGTGCTTGCCCAGTGCCTGCCACTCATCAGGATGTCAAATTCTTGAATATTGATTGAATGAATGAATGAGCCCGCTCAGATCCACCTGCCTAGAGGAATGGGTTTAATATCAGGCTGGTACTTCTGACCATGGCTGGTGAGGGCGGCAGGGGAGAGATTATTTAGGCCACAGGCTCACAGAGTGCCTATTTCTACCCACCCTAACTGGGTCCTGATGGTTCTTGGCAGGACATTTGCACTCACTCTCCCCTTTGGACCACTCTCCACAAGACCCCTGGGTGGCTGGCTCCCCCATTGCAGTCCGGTACTCACAGGGGCTCTAATTAGTGAGGTCTTATCTGATCATCATGGAGAAGATAGGATCCCCACCTGCCTCCCACACACTGTCCCCAGACTGGAGTAACAAATATTTCTTTTTATTTCATTCCCAATTGCCATATTTATATAGTAACCTCTCCTAACTGGTTCACTGTGTGAACACATTAGTAAAGCACAAGCTTTTCCTAGGAGGACCGTGTCTTGATGGGTTCCTGATGTGTCCCATTTC